TACCTTTTCAACGCGGGTATGTTTTCAATCTTACACCGGCTCCCTTCGCTGCCAGTCTACGATCCTAAGGGTTTAGGGTTTTATCAATCTGAAAAAGTGCGCCCGGTAATGTGCATTACTACCCGGTAAGTTACTAATTATTATACATATGTTCTGAATATCTTTATGAGATGAGTTTGGTTACTTGAAACAGGTGTTGATTAACGAAAGTCGAGTATTGTGTAACCAAACTAGGTTATTCAACGATAGTGACGTCATAACGTCGACCTTTCTGTCGCCACCTCGATATTCTTAATTAACATTCTAACTCCATTGAAGCAGTTTTTCAACAAAACTGTCAACTAAACAAAACATTAGATTTGAGCATAATTAACATTCAATTTCGGGAATAGTAGTTTTTCTCAATTGATTATTTTTATTTGTTTATTTTCATCTATTAAGTACATGTAGTTTCATTTTGTTTACATCTTGTTGTGCAATAAGTAGATAAGTTTATATAACATGCGGAAAATAGCATTCGGAATCGTTCGAATACAAACGTTTTCGAGGTAAAAGTTCAAACGGCATGTGCGAATGTTACCTTTCGCGAATTGGTAAACTGTGTTGATTGGTCAGTTCAAAAGGTTAGCTGACGCGACCTTCAGTGTAACGAATAATACTTAGCCTAAGTTTACTTAGACTGCTTTCAATGAAGATTGGTTTATATCAGTCACATCCATTGACAATACCCGACTATTCATTACACACAATAACTTTGACTGATTCGTGTGTGCAAATCGTAATTCCACAGAACCAAAGATGGTTACATTAACCATAGACAGTATTGGAAGCGTATATATATGCCATAAGCTTTAATTGCATACTTGACTATCTGACCAATCAGTAAAACGTGATATGTACACAGTGTGGGCATCAGCATCACATGAGGTACATTGAGACAGTGAGTGAGTGAGTTTAACTTTACAGTCACCTGTCTGTACAGAGGTTCTGAATCACCTGCAGTTGGACAATGTTAGATAGATGTCAAGAGTGTAGACATTATTTTCCTGGTTTCAGATGGCAACCTCTCAGAAGCTGACGGACCATTTCTTGTCCTTTACAATATGTACAGGGGTGTTTGACAAGCCCTGTACACTTGTGTGTAATCACACCTTCTGTCGGAAATGTATCGTCAACTACACCAAAACCAGACCAGAAGCCATCAGTGCCAAGTCCCTCCTGTGTCCATTCTGCAGAAAGATGACGAAAGTGTCTGCCCCTGAGAGACCAGTGGAGGACTGGGCGGGTGACATCAAGCCTATCTTCGTCATCCAGAGACTCTTGGACACGTTTGGTCCTGAAACCAAAGGTACACAACACTATATACTCTCTACCAAAGAGATTTCTTGGTATTCCTGGTTAAGAAACGGTAGGATGTAGCGATCACCATGTCTGTCCATCAGTGTGTGTCTGCCATACGTTTTCCATTTTGAGGAAACAGCCACCGACCCAATACTCACCGGTCTTACCCACCCCTGCAGCTCCATTCAACTGTCCCACCCACCCTGCAGCCCCATTCACCTGTTCCCCCACACACACACACACACAACACACACAATACTCCCATTCAGTAACACTCCACCCCAGCACTCCTATTTGCTCTGTCCTACCCACCCAATCACTACATTCAACTGTCCTACCTACCCATAACTCCCATTTGCTTGTCCCACCCACCCCATCACTCCCATTCAACTGTCCCACCCAATTCTATCACTCCCATTCACCTGTCACACCCCACCCAAGCATTCACATTCACCTGTCACACTCCACCCCAGCATTCCCATTCACCTGTCCCACCCATCTCAGCTCTCCCATTTACCTGTCCCACCCACCTCAGCATTCCCATTCAACTGTCCCATCCACCCCATCAATCCCATTTACCTGTCACACCCACCCCTGCACTCCCATTCACCTGTCACACCCACCCCAGCATTCATATTCACCTGTCACACCGAACACAGCATTCCCATTTACCCGTCCCACGCACCTCAGTTCTCCCATTCACCTGTCCCACCCACCTCAGCACTCCCATTCAACTGTCCCATCACTTCCATTCAACTGGCACACCCACCCCAGCACTCCGATCCACCTGTCCCCTGCCTGGCACACACACACTCCCATTCACCTGTCACACCCACCCCAGCATTCCCATTCACCCGTCCCACCCACCCCAGCTTCTCCACTCACCTGTTCCACTCCACCTCAGCACTCCCATTCAACAGTCCCATCCACCCATCAATCCCATTCACCTGTTCCATCCACCTGTTCAATCCCATTCACCTGTCCAACCCACCCCAGCACTCCCATTCAACTGTTTCTTACCCACCTGAGCACTCCTCATTCAACTGTCCCCCACACACACACACACATTCCTCCTCTTCACCTGTCCCATCCACCCTATCAATCCCATTCACCTGTCCAACTCCACCCCTAGCACTCCAATTCAACTGTCCACCCACCCTATCACTCCCATTCACCTGTCCACCCCACACCCACACACACTCCCATTCAGTCACACCCACCCCAGCAGTCCCATTCACTATTCAACTTTCCCATCACCCCCATCACTCCCATTCACCTGTCATTCACTCACCCACGCACTCCGATTCAACTGTCCCACCCACCCCAGCATTCACATTCACCTGTCACACCCACCCCAGCATTCCCATTCACCTGTCACACCCACCCCAGCATCCCCATTCACCCGTCCCACCAACCCACCCACACACTTCCATTTACCTGTCACACCCACCCCAGCTTTCCCATTCACTCGTCCCACCCACCTCAGCTCTCCCATTCACCTGTCCCACCCGCCTCAGCACTTCCATTCGGCTGTCTTATCCGCCCCATCAATTCCATTCACCTGTCACACCCTCCCCAGCATTCACATTCACCTGTCACACCCAGCCCAGCATTCCCATTCACCCGTCCCACCCACCAACGCACTCCCATTCAACTGTCACACCCACCGCAGCTCTCCCATTCACCTGTCCCTCCCACCCCAGGGGTTCAGTTCCCCTGTCCCGACCATCCCAGTTGACGAAACCCCCAACCATCGTACTGAGACTCCCATGTATAAAGCAACGCCCACAGATGGACTACAGGTGTACCATATAAAGTGGCCAGCTTATGTGTCGCTGGGTGCTCAACAGAATTCAATAAGTGATCGTCACAGAAATGTGTCAGTAGGGTCTTACTGAGTTGGTCAATGTTTGTTACTAGTGTTTCCTGTGCTATAAAGATACAATGAGAGATAAACATGAGTAAGTGTTTCAAGTAGGCGAGATAACCATATGTTAATCTGTGGTGATCTGAATACACGATCAGGACAAGGGAACAATGCTCAAAAGGACGCCGAATGCATTATTTCTTCTCTTGACCGGTTCGAACATTATTCGTGTTAAAAACATAGATTGCATCCTTAATTTAAAAATAGTTTCCTGTTCCGATGTATCTTTTAATCGTACGAGAGAATATGCTCTCAAATAATTTTTTCGCTACTTGGGCAAATTAATTTGAACCAATAGAGAACTTTGTTGATATTTTAGTAGAATCTGCAGATTGCATGATAATAAACTAAAAATGTACAATATGACTCGAAGAAACCACGTCTACCTACAGAATGTAAGGTTGCTATGCCGGACGCCCGTTAAGCCCTGAAAATGTTTAGAAAATGTCGTACAAACGTTTATTGAGTTATATACAGTTGAACGAAATACAAATGTGTATCGAACAGGCTGCAGAAACTTTATTGCTGACCTAAATAAATGGAAAAATTACTGATTAACACATACTATCTACTGCCCATCACAGTTTTGTAAACTAATAATACTCCTGAAAAGTCCTCGAACTACGTCAAGATGTATTTAAAAACAACAGTGGTTTACGCGTTTCAAATTATTATTTTCAATTGAAGAAACGTATGGCGTTCCCAATGATAAACGTTGATGTTAATGATAATATGCTCAGTGCACCCTATGATGATGTGGATTGTTAATGGAATCAGCCATAAGTGATAGTGAGAAAGGTGAAGCTATTAACCTCTTGAAATTACGAATGGCACAAGGCCTTGATAATATCTTGGCTGAAATGTGGAAATGTTCGAGGCCTGAAATTCTGTCATTCATTAGAAACATTTTAACAAAACCTTTGATGAAGATATTGTCCCACATTCCTGGGCGTCCTCTGTTATAATCCCGTTCCTCAAGAAGTCAATAAGGGGGACTCAAAAAAGTCCAGACAACTATAGGTGTATATCACTGATGAGTGACTCCTTAAGAACAGAATTTCGCTTTGGGCAAATATGCACGACACACTACCAGAATGCCAGACTGGTTTCCGAGAGAACTATACACTTACTGATAACATGTTTACTTTATATGCAATAATTAAAAAACGGGTAATAGTAAAGAAAACATAAACTATACGTAGCCTTTGTAGATTTCTAAAAAGCATTTGACTTAGTTGATTGTTCTAAATTGTGGCAATGTATCAAATGTTACCTAAATTAGCAGAACTTCTAATACTTCTCTATCCTGATGATGTAATATTAGTATCGGACCCTGTTCTTGGACCACAAACTCAACTGAATTTTTTTGGGAAAATATAGCAATGAATGGAAACTATCGGTAAACTTGTAAAAAAATAAAATTGTAGTATATAGGAGGTAGAAACATACATAAATAAGATGGAAGTGTTGTGCTTCTTCATGTCACGACATTCTGCTCGAAACATGCAGATAGAAGATGGTAGTGTTGTGCTGCTACATATCAGGACATTCCGGTAGGAACATACAGATAGAAGATGATAGTGTTGTGTTGCTACATTTCGACACATTGGGGTAGAAACATGCAGACAGAAAATGGTACTGTTGTGCTGTTACATGTCAGGACATTCTCGTAGAAACATACAGATAGAAAATGATAGTGTTGTGATGCTCCATTTCGAGACATTCGGGTAGAAACATACAGACAGTAGATGGTAGTGGTGTGCTGCCACATGTCGTGACATTCTGGTAGAAACATGCAGACAGAAAATGGTACTGTTGTGCTCCTACATGTCAGGACATTCTGGTAGAAACATGCAGACAGATAATGGTAGTGTTGTGCCCCTGCATGTCAGGACATTCTGGTAGAAACATACAGATAGAAGCTGATAGTGTTGTGTTGCTACATGTCGTGACATTCTGGTAGAAACACACATAAAGTAGATGGTAGTGTTGTGCTGCCACATGTCAGGACATTCTGGTAGAAACATGCAGACAGAAGATGATAGTGTTGTGCTGCTACACGTCGGGACATTCTGGTTGAAACATACAGACAGAAGATGGTAGTGTTGTGCTGCTACACGTCAGGACAGTCTTGTAGGAACATGCAGACAGAAGATGATAGTGTTGCGCTGCTACACGTCGGGACATTCTGGTAGAAACATACAGATAGAAGATGATAGTGTTGTGCTCCTGCATGTCAGGACATTCTGGTAGAAACATACACACAGAAGATGGTAGTGTTGTGCTCCTGCATGTAAGGACATTGTAGTTGAAACATACAGACAGAAGATGGTAGTGTTGTGCTGTTACATATGACGACATTCGTGTAGAAATATGCAGATAGAAGATGGTAGTGTTGTGCTGCTACATGTCAGGACGTTCTGGTAGAAACATACAGACAGGCGATGGTAGCGATGTGCTGCTAAATGTCAGGACATTCTGGTAGAAACATGCAGATAGAAGATGGTAGTCTTGTGCTCCTGCATGTCAGGACATTCTGGTAGAAACATGTAGACAGAAGATGGTAGTGTTGTACTGCAACATGTCAGGACATTCTGGTAGGAACATACAGACAGACGATAGTAGTGTTGTGTTGCTACATGTCAGGACATTCTGGTAGGAGCATACAGACAGAAGATGATAGTGTTGTGTTGCTACATATCGAGATATTTTGGTAGAAACATAAATACTGACGATGGTAGTGCTGTGCTGCCACATGTCAGGACATTCTGGTAGGAACATACAGACAGACGATGGTAGTGTTGTGCAGCTACATGTCAGGGCATTCTGGTAGAAACATACTGACAGATGATCATAGTGTTGTGCTCCTGCTTGTCAGGACATTCTGGTAGAAACAAGCAGGGAGAAGATGGTAGTGTTGTGCTGCTACACATCGGGTCATTCTGGTAGAAACATGCAGACAGAAGATGATAGTGCTGTGCTCCTGCATGTGAGGACATTCTGGTAGAAACAAGCAGGGAGAAGATGGTAGTGTTGTGCTGCTACGTGTCAGGAAATTCTGGTAGGAACATACAGACAGACGATAGTAGTGTTGTGCTGCTACATGTGAGGACATTCTGGTAGAAACATGTAGACAGACGATGGTAGTGTTGTGCTGCTACATGTCAGGACATTCTGGTAGAAACATACAGACAGATAATGGTAGTGTTGTGCTCCTGCATGTCAGGACATTCTGTTAGAAACATGCAGACAGAAAATGGTAGTGTTGTGCTGCCACATGTCAGGACATTCCGGTAGAAACATACAGACAGAAGATGATAGTGTTGCGCTGCTACACGTCGGGACATTCTGGTAGAAACATACAGGCAGAAGATGGTAGTGTTGTGCTGCTGCACGTCAGGACAGTCTTGTAGGAACATACAGACAGAAGATGATAGTGTTGCGCTGCTACACGTCGGGACATTCTGGTAGAAACATACAGATAGAAGATGATAGTGTTGTGATGCTACATTTCGAGACATTCCGGTAGAAACATGCAGACAGAAAATGGTACTGTTGTGCTGCTTCATGTCTGGACATTCTGGTAGAAACATACAGATAGAAGATGATAGTGTTGTGTTGCTACATTTCGAGATATTCGGGTAGAAACACACAGTAGATGGTAGTGTTGTACTGCCACATGTCAATACATTCCGGTGGAAACATGCAGACAGAAGATGATAGTGTAGCGCAGCCACAAGTCGGGACATTCTGGTAGAAACATACAGACAGAAGATGGTAGTGTTGTGCTCCTACATGTCAGGACAGTCTTGTAGGAACATACAGACAGACGATAGTAGTGTTGTGCTGCTACACATCGGGTCATTCTGGTAGAAACAGGCAGACAGAAGTTGGTAGTGTTGTGCTGCTACATATCGGGACATTCCGGTAGAAACATGCAGACAGAAGATGGTAGTGTTGTGCTGCAAGATGTCAGGAAATTCTCGTAGAAACATACAGACAGATGATGATAGTGTTGTGCTCCTGCACGTGAGGGCATTCTGGTAGAAACATACAGACTGAAGATGGTAGTGTTGTGCTGCTACATGTCAGGACATTCTGGTAGAAACATGCTGACAGAAAATGGTACTGTTGTGCTGCTACATGTCAGGACATTCTGGCAGAAACATACATACAGTAGATGGTAGTGTTGTACTGCCACATGTCAGGACATTCCTGTAGAAACATACAGACAGAAGATGATAGTGGTGTGCTGCGACATGTCGGGACATTCTGGTAGAAACAGACAGACAGAAGATGGTAGTGTTGTGCTACTATATTTCAGGACAGTCTGGTAGAAACATACAGACAGAAGACGGTAGTGTTATACTCCTGCATGTCAGGACATTCTCGTTGAAACATGTAGTCAGAAAAGAGAAATGTTATGCTGCTACATGTACGGACATTCTGGTAGAAAGATACTGAGAGAACATAGTAGTGTTGTGCTGCTACATATCGGGACATTCAGGTAGAAACATACAGACAGAAGTTGGTAGTGTTGTGCTGCCACATGTCAGGACATTCTGGTACAAACATGCAGATAGGAGATGGTAGTGTTGTGTTGCTACATGTCAGGACATTCTGGTAGAAGCACACAGACAGAACATGATAGTGTTGTATTGCTACATATCGGGACATTCTGGTAGAAACATGCAGACAAAAGTTGGTAGTGTTGTGCTGCTACATGTCAGGACATTCTGGTTTAAACATGCTTACAGAAAATGGTACTGTTGTGCTGCTACATGTCAGGACATTCTGGCAGAAACATACAGATAGAAGATGATAGTGTTGTGTTGCTACATTTCGAGACATTCGGGTAGCAACATACATACAGTAGATGGAAGTGTTGTGCTGCCACATGTAGTGACATTCCGGTAGAAACATGCAGACAGAAATTTTTACTGTTGTGCTGCTACATGTCAGGACATTATGGTAGAAACATACAGACTGAAGATGATACTGTTGTGTTGCTACATTTCGAGATATTCTGGTAGAAACATACATACAGTAGATGGTAGTGTTGTGCTGCCACATGTCAGGACATTCTGGTAGAAACATACAGACAGAAGATGATAGTGATGCGCTGCTACACGTCGGGACATTCTGGTAGAAACATACAGAGAGAAGATGGTAGTGTTGTGCTCCTGCATGTCAGGACATTCTCGTTGAAACATGTAGTCAGAAAAGAGAAATCTGGTGCTGCTACATGTACGGACATTCTGGTAGAAACATACTCAGAGAACATAGTAGTGTTGTGCTGCTACATATCGGGACATTCTGGTAGAAACATGCTGACAGAAGTTGGTAGTGTTTTGCTGCCACATGTCAGGACATTCTGGTACAAACATGCAGATAGGAGATGGTAGTGTTGTGTTCCTACATGTCAGGACATTCTGGTAGAAGCATACAGACAGAAGATGATAGTGTTGTATTGCTACATATCGAGACATTCTGGTCGATACTTACATAAAGGCGATGGCAGTGTTGTGCTGCCACATGTCGGGACATTCCGGTAGAAAAATGCAAACAGACGATAGTAGTGTTGTGCTGCTACATGTCAGGACATTCTGGTTTAAACATGCACTCATGCACAACATTATCATCATCTGTCTGTATGTTTCTACCAGAATGTCCCGACATCAACAGCACAACACTACCATCTACTCTATGTGTTCTACCCGAATGTCTGAAAAACAACAACACTATCATCTTATATGTATTTTATTAGAATCCCGATGTAGCAACAACACAGGACATTCTGGTAGAAACATACAGACAGAAGGTGGTTGTGTTGTGCTGTTACATATCGGGACATTCTGGTAGAAACATGCAGACAGAAAGTGGTACTGTTGTGCTCCTACATGTTAGGACATTCTGGTAGAAACATACAGATATAAGATGATAGTGTTGTGTTGCTACATTTCGAGACATTCTGGTAGAAACATACATACAGTAGATGGAAGTGTTGTGCTGACAAATGTAGTGACATTCTGGTAGAAACATGCAAATAGGAGATGGTAGTGTTGTGTTGCTACATGTGAGGACATTCTGGAAGATACATGCAGACAGACGATGGTAGTGTTGTGCTGCTACATGCGAGGACATTCTGGTAGAAACATACGGACAGAAGATGGTAGTGTTGTGCTCCTGCATTTCAGGACATTCTTGAAATGTGGACAGTCGATACTAGTGATGTGCTGCTACATGTCAGGACATTCTGGTAGAAACATGCAGACAGACGATAATAGTGTTGTGCTCCTGCACGTCAAGACATTCTGCTAAAAACATACAGACATACGATGGTAGTGTTGTGATCCTGCATGTCGGGACATTTTCGTTGAAACATGCAGACAGAAAACGGTAATGTTGTGCTGCTACATGTAAATACATTCTGGTAGAAACATGCAGACAGAAGATGGTAGTGTTGTGCTGCCACATGTCTTGACATTCTGGTAGAAACATGCAGACAGAAAATTTTAATGTTGTGCTGCTACATGTCATGACATTCTGGTAGAAACATACAGAGAGTGGATGGTAGTGTTGTGCTCCTGCATGTCAGGACTTTCTGGTAGAAACATATAGACAGAAAATGGTAATGTTGTGCTCCTACATGTCAGGACATTCTGGTAGAAACATACAGACAGACGATAGTAATGTTGTGCTGCTACATATCAGGACATTCTGGTAGAAACATGCAGACAGAATATGGTAGTGTTGTGTTGCTACATGTCAGGACATTCTCGTAGAAGCATTCTGACAGAAGACGATACTGTCGTCTTGCTACATGTCAGGACATTCTGGTAGAAACATGCAGACAGACGATAGTAGTGTTCTCCTGCATGTCAGAACATTCTGGTAGAAACATACAGACAGATAATGGTAGTGTTGTGCTCCTGCATGTCAGGACATAATGGTTCAAACATGCAGACAGAAAATGGTAATGTTGTGCTCCTACATGTCAGGACATTCTGGTAGAAACATACAGATTGAAGATGATAGTGTTGTGTTGCTACATTTCGAGACATTCTGGTAGAAACATACAGACAGTAGATGGTAGTGTTGTGCTGCCACATGTCGTGACATTGTGGTAGAACCATACATTCAGACGAGGGTAGTGTTGTGCTGCCACATCTGGACATTCGGGTAGAAACATACAGACAAAAGATGATAATGTTGTGCTGCTACATGTCAGGACATTCTGGTTGAAAGATACAGACAGAAGATGATAGTGTTGTGATACTGCATGTCGGGACATTCTGGTGGAAACATACAGACAGAAAATGGTAATGTTGTGCTGCTACATGGCTGGACATTCGGGTAGAAACATACAGACAGAAGATGGTAGTGTCGTGCTGCTGCTACATGTCAGGACATTCTGGTAGAAAGATACAGACAGATAATGGTAGTTTTGGGCTCCTGCATGTCAGGACATTATGGTTCATACATGCACTCAGAAAATGGTAATGTTATGCTGCTACATGTCAGGACATTCTGGTACAAACATATCGACTGAAGATGATAGTGACTTCTTGCTACAATTCGAGACATTCTGGTAGAAAATTACATACAGTAGATGGTAATGTTATACTGCCACATGTCGTGTCATTCTGGTAGAAACATGCAGATAGAAAATTTTACTGTTGTGCTGCTACATGTCAGGATATTCTTGTAGAAAAATACAGACAGAAGATGACAGTGTTGTGCTGCTACATGTCAGGAGATTCTGGTAGAAACATACAGACAGAAGATGGAAATGTTGTGCTGCTACATGTCAGGACATTCTGGCAGAAACATACAGATTGAAGATGATAGTATTGTGTTGCTACATGTCGAGACATTCTGGTAGAAACATACATACAGTAGATGGTAGTGTTGTGCTGCCACATGTCGTGACATTCTGGCAGAAACATACATTCAGACGAGGGTAGAGTTGTGCTGCCACATGTGAGGACATTCCGGTAGAAACATACAGACAGAAGATGATAATGTTGTGCTGGTACATGCCAGGACATTCTGGTAGAAACATACAGACAGAAGATGGTAGTGTTATGCTCCTGCATGTCAGGACATTCTGGTAGAAACATGTAGAGAGAAGATGATAGTGTTGTGCTCCTGCATGTCAGAACATTGTGGTTGAAACATGCAGACAGAAGATGGTAGTGTTGTGTTGCTACATGTCAGGACATTCTGGTAGAAACATACAGAAAGAGGATGATGGTGTTGTGTTGCTACATATCGGGACATTCTGGTAGAAACATACATACTGACGATGGTAATGTTGTGCTGTTACATGTCTGGACATTCTGGTAGGAACATACAGACTGATGATAGTGTTGTGCTCCTGCATGTCAGGACATTCTGGTAGAAACATGCAGACAGAAGATGGTAGTGTTGTGCTCCTGCATGTCAGGACATTATGGTTCAAACATGCACTCAGAAACTGGTAATGTTGTGCTGCTTCATGTCAGGACATTCTGGTAGAAACATACAGACTGAAGATGATAGTGTTGTGTTGCTACATTTCGAGACATTCTGGGAGAAACATACATACAGTAGATGGTAGTGTTGTGCTGCCACATGTCGTGACATTCTGGTAGAAACATGCAGACAGGAAATTATACTATCGTGCTGCTACATGTCAGGACATTATAGTAGAAACATACGAACTGAATATGATAGTGTTGTGTTGCTACATTTCGAGACATTCTGGTAGAAACATACAGACAGCAGATGGTAGTGTCGTGCTGCCTCATGTCATGACATTCTGGTAGAAACATACATACAGACGATGGTAGTGTTGTGCTGCTACATGTCAGGACATTCTGGTAGAAACATACAGACAGAAGATGATAGTGTTGTGTTCCTGCATGTCAGGACATTCTCGTTGAAACATGCAGACAGAAGATGGTAGCGTTGTGCTCCTGCATGTCAGGACATTCTCGTTGAAACATCCAAACAGAAGATGGTAGTGTTGTGATGCCACACGTCGTGACATTCTGGTAGAAACATGCTGACAGAAGATGGTAGTGTTGTCTTGCTACATGTCAGGACATTCTGGTAGATACATGCTGTCAGACGATGGTAGTGTTGTGCTGCTACATGTCAGGACATTCGTGAAGAAACACAAACAGAAGATGGTAGTGCTATGCTTCTGCATGTCAGGACATTCTGGTTGAAACATGCAGACAGAAGATGGTGTTGTGCTGCTACATGTCGGGACATTCTGGTAGAAACATACATACAGTAGATGGTAGTGTTGTGCTGCCACATGTCAGGACATTCCGGTAGAAACATACAGACAGAAGACGACAGTGTTGTGCTCCTGCATGTCAGGACATTGTGGTTGAAACATACAGACAGAATATGGTAGTGTGGTGCTGCCACATGTCAGAACATTTTGATAGAAACATACATACAGTAGATGGTAGTGTTGTGCTGCCACATGTCGGGATATTACAGTAGAAACATGCAGACAGTAGATGGTAGTGTTGTGCTGCTACATGTCAGGACATTCAGGTAGAAACATACTGGCAGATGATGATAGTGTTGTGCTCCTGCATTTCAGGACATTCTGGTTCAAATATGCACTCAGAAAATGGTAATGTTGTGCTGCTACATGTCAGGACATTCTGGTGGAAACATACAGTCAGAAGATGGTAGTCTTGTGCTGTTACATATCATGACATTCTGGTAGAAAAATGCAGACAGAAAATGGTACTGTTGTGCTGCTACATGTCAGGACATTCTGGAAGAAACATACAGATTGAAGATGATAGTGTTGTGTTGCTACATTTCGAGACATTCGTTTAGAAACATACATACAGTAGATGGTAGTGTTGTGCTGCCACATGTCGTGACATTCTGGTAGAAACATACATACAGACGATGGTAGTGTAGTGCTGCTACATGTCAGGACATTCTCGTTGAAACATGTAGACAGAAAATGGTAATGTTGTGCTGCTACATGTAAGGACATTTTGGTAGAAACATACTGAGAGAAGATGGTAGTGTTCTGCTGCTACATATCGGGACATTCTGGTAGAAACATACAGACAGAAAAAGGAAATGTTGTGATCCTACATGTCAGTACATTCTGGTAGAAACATGCAGACAGAAGATGGTAGTGTTGTGGGTATGTCCTCTTGTCTGTCTACAACAAGGTTTATGTAGTTGATCATATTGTCACAAAATATCATAAAGTAACTACCATGCGACGGAGATGTGGTATTCAGCTACAGCCCTACAGGAGACACAGCACTGGATTGTCCTCAGGGTATCACAAGTACCGACACAGGCGACATCCTGGTTACAGACTGCAGTCTACACAGAGTCGTTCATCTGACTGAGTCAGGACAGTTTGTCAGAAACATACTGACAGAAGAGGGCGGTATGAACTATCCTGAGGGTGTCTGTGTAGACCCATATGGTTACATGTATGTTTGTCTCAGACTGAGGGACCTATTAAGGTGTTCACGTGTAACCACAGTCAAGTCTATGTGTCAGACTTGGCATACATGTAATCACTCTCTCAGCTTCTCATCAGGGTAGGATCTTTAAAAGCCGAGACAGTATGATGTTGAGTATACACAAGAAACCTTAAAGATGACAAGATATATTTTGGATACCTCAGGTATATGGATATCTCCAATACATGAGATATCAGCATAAAATTGTATAAAGGATATGTCTGACATATGTGTCCCTGACAGAAGATTAACCGAACTCCAAGTCTTGCAGTAAACGTTAGACCCATGTACTATAGCACAGCATGGTGAAACCGGTAAGCTCAAACATCTATCATGTATATACTCTCTTTGTTCATAATGTTGTGTATCACCTGCTTGATAACGGTGTTAGCATCTACACCGAAACGTCGCACCTATTGCAATAGTCTTTCTTTAAAACATCTTACCTGTTCATCATACCAGCTTCTGTATGCCACTCGAGGAAATCAATTTTAAATGTTGTGAGTATTTAGGTCACGTATGTTTCTCTTCAAAACTGATTTCAAGTCAACCCGTATTCTACTTTTTTTATTACATACCCATGTAAACTTAGGTTAGTAATACAGGGGTGCAATAAGGATGACGTGGTGAAATTCCCTATTGCACTCCAGATTCCGTACTGAACCCCTGCCGGTTCTAGTTTCTCCAAAGGTCGGCACTTTCCGGGATTTTCCGTACCCAGCTAACGAGAGGTGTATCAATTGAATATAATGATATGCTTTTTATGTTGTATATGATTAATTTAGAAACTTAAAACAATATCGTACTTGTTGATTACATTAAAAGATTGAAAGAAAAAAATGTGTTTGTCTTTTTTCACGTCACATACATGGTCTGCTTGTTGTCAAAATGTCGGCAACAATGACATCGATGGTACTATCCATCAAGACTTATTTGACATGTTATTTGAACTGGAATACTCTATGATTACTTTGGAATCATCACCAGTGCCTCTCGTAACAAAGAACATCAAAGATTTCAATGCATACATCGAGACCAAGAAAAGTGTCACCACGGTACAGAAAACAAACAGTCTTGTTTCTAAATTCAACCATTTGTTATTGGAAAACAATGTGAAACAAGACATGCTGACTCTCCCTCCTCCAGAACTTGATGTTCTTATTGGATCCTACATTCTTTCTCTGGAGAAGGACAATGGTGAACCCTACGAACCTGATACATTAACATCCTACCATCGCGCCATTGATCGCCACCTTCCTGACAACGATGACCCCTCTAACATTGTGCGAGATGCGGAATTCCGTACAAGTAGAAAAGTTCTTGAAGCCAAAAAGAAAGAACTAAATCAAACAGGTAAGAGGAATCGGCCAAATAAATCCGAGTCTCTGTCAGTGGAAGATGAGGAGCGGTTGTGGGAAAAGGGTAAATTTAGGAGTCATTCACCTTTGTCAATTTTTATGGTACTATTTTACTAAAATGTTTGGATTGCGTGTTCGGGATGAAAGCAGAAAATGAAAATGGGGTGACGTTCAGCTAAAAACAGATTCTGATGGTCAGGTGTGTCTTGAGATTTTGGGAAAGGGAGACTGAAAAAAGGGAAGGAAATTCCACTCACCATCGCATGTTCAATCCTAAAATATTCCCCGGAAATGAAACATGAATCCTCACAGTGTACAAATCCTTTGCCAAACAACGGCATCAACACACTCGGTGGCCTCGTGAAAAGGATTCCCGTGCCGGTTTGGTCAGCAAAATCACAGACACAGTGCTCGAAAGTCCATGTGTACACAGCTGCTTCATTCCGTTGTAGAACCGACGACAATATGTCAGCTGTCAGGGCACAAAACTGTGAACAGTCTCAATGACTATGCTGTTGCTTCCCTTCCAATGCAGAAACACATGTCTAGTATCCTTACTTGTAGTTAAGAAAACCCTCTTGTTCCTGTTGACAATTCGTCTAAAGCTGTCTCTCACCAACAACGCATGTCACTTCCAAAATGGTTTGAATGTAGGCCTTACAGTAGTCAGGTAAACCAAAACACTACTGCACTCCACGGAATGACACCTTGATTATTCAGCAACAGTAACGTTTACGGTGACGCCTTCAATATCAATTTTAACTGGTCATCTCAAACAAACTGACTTATTTGGAACAGACCACATGCAAATTAGTGTGCGATGATATTGTATTACAAAGGGCACTTTTTTATATGCCCATTTTGAAATTAAACTTAGCTTCATAATAAACGATAACTGACGTAAAAAATTATAACTTTGATATTGAAACTATTAAGGATGTAGCTACCATGAAGTCTCACTATCACTATAAAAAGGAAGAGATAGGAGGGGTCGTCTCAAAAGCAAAACCAGGACGGGTGTCGCAGACGGTGATTGGGATCGGGCTGGGGGATAGAGATATCAGCTGATAATCCTTTAGGGGAATTAAGCTGGGAAAGTAAACGGCATGTCATAACAATTTACAAATAACATCCAATCCTGTCGATCTTCGGGTGGTCATGCCACCTATATATTTTGCGACATTTAATGCGATAGCTGATTTAATCTTTTCTATGGGTATCATACTTGTAAGTGCCAGTTATAGCATCTGTTTGACACTGACAGCAGTAAGCTATAATTAGAAACAAGAGTATGGGTCATGTGACAGTCATGTGACAGCGAGATGAGGCGATGCGAGCCACGGGCAGTGGTGAGAGAGAGAGGTCGGCCGAAGCAGAAACCATGCCAACGTTCAGGCATAGGGCTACACGGTTTTCAACCGTATTACAGCGTATTTTAAAGGTTTTGCATTGTAAATATGAGTTACTGTAACTGTAATGGGCCTGAATAAAGAAGCGGAAAAACGTCCTGCGTTTGTGGAACCTACAAAAGTTGAAAACCCGCCCGTCAGTTGTCACGAAAGTTTCACGGAAACAGGACACGCGGCTGAAGACTCGGAAAAAACACGAGGCTAACACTGCGCAACAATACAGTGTCATGAAGGTAACAGTCAAGTTCAAGACAGACAAATGCTATTTCAAAGTGTTACTAACATAATTCAAATCATATTTTGGTGTTGAAGGAACTTTATAAACTGTCGTTTCAAAATGAAAACATTCGTCAAGCTTGCATTGTGGGAAGTATATTGACACTAACAGAGCACGTGTGTTTGGAAATTCAACATGGTACGCCGTTGGTATCAAAATTAGTTCATGAACTTTGACATTGCTTATGACCAGTTAACCTGTTAACTTTGAAAGCGAAGACTGAAGATTTCTTTTAGTTTCCAACATGTCGGAGGCAAGTGGGAGAAAAAGACAGTTAAAGGTCACATGCAACGTAAAACACAACTTTGCAGATTCTGATACCTTTCGGTATGGACATACCGAAACACATCGTCAAAAAATGCAAATTCGACTTATTCGAAAAATAACGCGATGAAAAAACACACGCGAAATCGGAGTTCAAACGTTTCACCAATTTTCCCCAGACTTTTCAGGGGAAAACGGGTTTCAACAGCTGGGCTGCGCTCATAGCACGTGCGCAAGTAAATAGGTTCGCGCAGCTTGGAAGCGGGTTGTCGGGTGAATACTCGGTGAAGGCTTTGGTGTGAGCTATTTTCATAATGTTTTGTTGATATCTCACAGGCGAGAGCTTTTTATATGTTATGACAGTAAATTAACTGTTAATATAATTTGTCTATTTCACCACACGTTCTTCTTACCGAGACACTTTCTCAGTTCCATACTTAAAAGCAATGTCATTATTTAGCGTTGACAGAATTTCTAACTGTGATATAGATATGTCGTTGTCTCAGACAAAACTCAATGTCTTGTTTTATTGACACCTGTGTGTCTGCCTGCCTGTCTGCTAATGACAATATTCAATACACAACTAGTAGTATATACAGTGGGGGTTCTGGACCAGTTCCAACCAAAGCCTCTGCAAAGCCTTATTTCACAAATAAGGCTTTGGTCGGACCCTTAGCTCTTGCTACCATTACCCCTACTATGAAAAAGTTGGGGGATGCGAACGCACCTCACAATCGCGCTACCGGGTGTATGGGTGAAGGAACTGGTCTACCCTGGGATTGTATCATCCAATACTGGGCTGCGTCTAACGTGCCGCTATGTCACATTTACCTCGATGAAACAGTTTAATGTGAATCGCCTATGATCTCTTTGGTGTTTGTAATAAAGGCTTGCCGGGCTTTTTGTACTCCCTGTTCTATGTACTTTTTTTATCATCCTCGCTGATAGCAGACGTACTAGACTTGGATCGAATCTCTTGTTTCATTTCGTTATATTTTGTGAGTTCAGAGAGGATTGAACGAAATTCCTCCTCGGAGATCTTACTGTCAGTGAGTGCCGTGGAAATACGCTCACTTACTGTGTTCAGCTTTGCTTCAGCCAGAACCCTGATCTCGTCGTGCTTCAATGCCTTACGATGCAGTCTGCGGGATGTAAACTTAAGCACCAACCCTAACACCCCTGCCACCCCAGCTGTTATTTCAATACCTAGCACTACGGGGGTAGCCACGATGGTAGCTAACAATCCAACACCTACCGCCCCTAGCCCCATGCTGGTTGCCATATAGCAGTGTCAGCCCC